AGGGAATCCTCAGCTATTTTAGAAAGTGTCATGGACGTCTCCACTTTCGTGTAAAAATGTACCATCCACTGCATAACATTCCTTCAGCGAGCTGAGCTCCTCCACTACTCGCTCCTGGAGCAGTGTCCGACCAGAAAGGGACTCGTGACTTAGAGAAACATTGCGCCTCACTGCCAATTCATGCGGTTGGCTCTTTTTCCTTTCTTTCTTTCTTTCGTTCGTTCGTTCGTTCGTTCGTTCGTTCGTTCGTTCGTTCGTTCGTTCGCTGGTTTCTAAACAGGCTAAGAGAGCTTTTCCATGCGTTCGCTGGAAAGACTCCTGGTCCGATCTTTCCCGTGACATTTGGTGGCGTGCCTCCTGAAGGCCCGGCGCGCGGCTCTGCCCCAGGACACGTGTGCCGTTGAGAGCAGGCAGCGCTGCACGGAAGTTTCCGGTTGCCAGCTACTTCGCTTTCCCGATCGGCATTTCCGGGGATGAGCAAAGGTTCGTTCTGGCACCCCACCCCCACCCCGGCGCCAACCGGTGTGCGCATGCGCGGGCGCGCTGCACCCCCTCCGCTGCCCGGGATTATCTGTTCAATGTTTGGGTATTGAGTTTACACTACAGCGGAGTAGCTGACTCGCGGTGACTTTCCAGGGGAGAAAGGGCATCTTTCCCTGCCCTGGAACGAGTACAGCCGCTTAAAAATAGAACAATGCGTGTTTGGGGTTTGCTTTTCGTCCTCTGCATCAATAACAGGTGTACAGTTACAGACACAAAGAGCTAGATTCACGCCGTCTACGCCTCCGGAGAGTTCCCAGAGTTACCCCGGGAGCACGAGCTGGGCCCCAAATGTTTAGTAAAAAGAAAGTAACCCAATATCGCTCCGTGTTACTGACCCAGCTGGGTCACATGGCTGCATTATTGTCCCCTCTTCGTGACTCTCGGGCGTCCATGCGCAGGGGAAGAAAATATCACCCAGAACGAGTCCTAGGCATCAGAAAACAAAGTAAAGACCCCTCCAAGCTGAATTAGAGGGACTGACGTGGCTACTGTACATTGTGGGCTTTGGAAGGGGGAGGGCGAGGGTGGGGACCGGAGATGGAAGGGCGGCCACTGGAGAGCCGCGACCGCGCTGGGAACCCAGCGTGAGCCGTCAGATGGATTTGCTGGCTTGCTTTTTAAAGCCTTTCCTGAGATGTACGTACTTCTCGAATTGTAATATGACCTCTCGGAAGCACTGGCCTCACGCTTGCTCTGTGATTCGGTGCCTCGCCCGCCTCGCGGCGTGTCCACGATCAGTAACAGTGTCACTTGGGGATAAGTTCGCGCGAACTCTGCAGCGTGGGAGCCGCTTCCCCTGCTAGCACGCTCCTCGGCAGCTGCTTGCAATTCTTCCCCCTTCCCTCCCCTGGAAATGGTTCCTAATAAATCTGAACAGATGCTAGGTGTCTGGCAGCGTTGTGAGGGGTACTCGTTTTCAAATGTGGGTTATTTCATGTCTCCTAATGAAAATTTCATCAGCCTGTATGCCTTCGATGTGCTCCAGTGTTCACATAAATACCTAACCCCTGACTCCGCGTGTCCCACTCGCGAGTTCTCCTAACCTATTTATTGGTTCTGACACCACCGCTACTAAATCCTTGGCTCTCAAAGACCGATCTGGTAAACATGCACAGGCAGATCTGACTTGGCACTGAACGTGGCTCCTTCTTTCTAAATGTGCTTTTCCAGTTGCCCCTGACAGCCAAGTCAAGTGTTGCCGGAGCTCACGCTTACAGGTTATTACAGCTCCCCAAGCTCCCTCTCCAGGGCCCCTCTTTTCTTCTGCCCCAGCCCCCGAATGTGGCTCACTCGACACTGCTGTGCCTGCGGAACGCTGTGCTCCCCAGGGCCTGAGTTTTGAGAGCAAGCACTGGGCCATCCTTCCATGCACAGCCCTGGGCCTCGCATACAATAAATGCTCAATAAATCAATCTCGCCCTGGCCGGTTTGGCTCAGTGGTTGGAGGGTCGGCCTGCGGTACAGAGAGACCCGGGTGCGGTTCCCGCTAAGGGCACGTACCTCGGTTGCAGTTTGTCCCCGGCCCTGGTTGGTCCTGCGGGTGGCAGCCACTCGATGTGTCCCTTCACATCGATGTTTCTCTCTCTCTCTCTTCCTCTCTTTCCCTCCCACTCTATCTGTACAAAAAATGGAAAAATGTCCTCAGGTGAGGATAAAAAAAAAAAAAAAAATCTATCTCGACGGAACCGAGGATGCCTATAGAAAACAAAAATATGCATGTTTTCTTATTCATCAGCTCTCACGTCAGAAGACAGAATCCACTTCTGAGGGAGTTCTCACTCCCCTCCGGTGGCTGTTAGGGAACATATAGAAGGTCGTGCATACAGAAAGTCCACGGCGAGCTGGACAAGCCGGTGGAAATGTTCTCATGCCCCGAAACACTCAGTGGTAGGTGAAGGGGCATGTTTGTTTGTGTAGCCTGCATACCGATTCCCTGTGAACGGTTACTTCATTCATCTCAGTTCCTTACATCGTTTATCTCCCTACTTGAAATACTTGACATTTCTACTCATTTGAGAGTGACGCCACAAGCATCCCTGAGGCATTTACACGGGCTGTGGCCTCCGGAAGACGTGGATACACTTCTCAGGGGCACGGACTGCCCCACTTCCTTTATTTTCCCTGTCTAACCTTGCACCGCTCTGTGCGTTCCCTGGGTAGGCAGTAAATAGTCCTGACAGCATCTGCCATATGTTTTCATGCTTCATTCCCTCACTGCATGTGTGCTCTGGGTCATGCACAGCAGCTTTTGTCTAGTTGAGGTTATTAATTCCTGCAGTATGGAGCCCCCCCAGGCAGCTGTGCTGGGTGCTGAGGAAGGAAGTCACGGAGCTGTTAAACCCACAGACGCCAGGCCCTGGATCTCCCCCTCCTCTGCAGAGAGACGAGGTACTTACATCTGAAAAGTTGAAGAGGGGCCAGCCGAGTGGTGCAGAGCATACGATCAAAGCAGCAGAGGCTCACCCCACTGCATTTACTTGTGGTAATCCCTGCTTGGGTCTTAAGAACACCAACTTTGGAGCTACCTGAGTCATTTCTCTGCCGGTCACAGCACTGGTTAGCTTTATGGAAAGTCATTTTGGCATTCAATGTTCATTGTGGAGTGGAAATAATAGTAGTGACAGTGATAGAACACTTGTCATTCATACCAAGTGGGGGACCCCAGAGTGGGCTTTGTGGAAATCATGGCTGTGGGCGTGGTTGTGTGGACTGTAGGCGCTGCACTAATGTTAGTGATGACGGCCGCTCACATTCCGCCTCAGTTCTGTAAACATCAAGTTCAAAGGCCTTTGGCGTCCTTGCTGGAGAGTATCAGGTGCTTGGCCTTTTCCTGCTTGTGCATCTGGGGTCCACCTAGAGAGGATCATTTTCTCAGTGTTGGCCCAAATCATCTGATGGCATTCTCCCTGACCAAGCCTTGGCTTTGTTGCTAATTGGTAGCTTGTTTCAGAGCTCGTGTTGCTTATTTCTTCTCCTTCTTCCAGCCAACTTGCTACTTCCTAAGTCATGCTCGCTGCAGCTTGTCAGTGTTTCTAGACAAGAAGCCTGCTTGGGGATGACCCTGAATAAACAACTGAAGTCACTCTATTTTTCTATGTTAGAGTAAAATACCTACTTCCCAAGAAAGCTCGTGACCTTCCAAGATTGGGCAAACTTCACTTGTAAACCGAACCAGTTTTGCGTTGGTGTGCTAAAGCAAAGCTTGAAACTGCTTTGCCAAAGGCTTTCATTCTGCCCAAGCCTCGCCACTAACTACTGGTGTCATTCTGTACATCACTGCACCTCTTGATTTCTTGGCCTCACTCTCCAAACCTGGAGGTCCTCAGCCATGACTAAGCCCCAGTGTTAGGCATTTAATTTTGGCTTTTTGATAACAGACTTGGTTTCCAAGGGTGTTTGCAGGTCCCCTGTGGGATCATGTTCTCTACAATCAAGGTTCCATAGTAGTCATATGTGTGCAAATTAGAAACAATGCCACATGATTCACTGAGTCTGGGACAGAGCCTGGCACATGGTAATTCTCAATAATCAGCTATAAATGTATGAGAACATTGGTATTGCCATTCAGATTGTGTTTACTCTCTTCTACCCTGAAGTAGTAAAATGATCCTCTTGATTGCAGATTTATTCTTTGATGGGTGACATTTTTTATTTTACCTGCATGATCATTGCTAGCAGTTGTTAAGAATAAAAGACATGCTGGTTGTTGAACATATGTACTTGTTATCCCTTCGGCAACATCGTCATCTCTGTTTTACAAATGAGAAAACTTCCCGAAGTCTTCCTGCTAGCAAGGGGCTGAGCCTGAATTCACACTCAGATCTCTTTGTCACTAACCCCCCCTCTCTGTAAGGCCATGCAATCCCTAATGTGGTGTGGCCTCTAGATTTGTCCTGGATCAGTCTATAATGCTAAAGTGTATCTGTGGCCTTAATTTATGCCTATGATAAAAAGTCTATTCTCCACATAAGCTACATATGATCCACAATTTTCTCACACTTGTGCACTTAACTTATGTCACGTATGGTTGGACATTTGGTTATTTGATGAGAATATGACTTGTCTACTCAACAAAAGAATGTTTGAGAGTAGGAATTACTGTTTGTATATTTGCATCCCAGCACTAATCAGTGTGATAATCTCTTGTTATGGTAGATGTTACATAAATAACCCATGGGTTTGTGGGTTGGCTACAGTTGCTTAATTAGTCTCAACTATGAATTTGCAGACTTTGTCATCATCCTTCATTCACCAAGTCTCTATTGTATCTCTACTATGATAGCCACTGGGCATACAGAAATAAGTAGAGACCATCATGTATATTTATAATCGAAGAACTAGAATCTGGAAAATCACAAGCTAATATGTTATTGTGGAAGGAGTAAAGTAAAGATGAATTAAAGCATTACTTTTTGTTTTAGAGTTCAGCTTTTTATTAAATGTGTTACAAAAGAAGTTTAGTCAAAAAGACCAAAGTCCATGTTATCATCAGACTCCTCAGATTCTTCTTTCTTTGCTTCTACTTTCTCCTCCACAGCTGGAGCAGCAGGGGTGGAGGGGGCAGGACCTCCTGCTGGGGCAGGTCCACCTGCCCCTACATTGCAGACTAGGCTCCCGATGTTGACATTGGCCAGAGCCTTTGCAAACAAGCCTGGCCAGAAAGACTCCACATTTACATCAACTACTTTAATGAGGGCATGGATCTTATTCTCCCTGACCCTCACCTCATCATCCTGAAGGATGAGGGCTGAGTAGATGCAGGTGGGTTCTGAGACCATGCACTACAAGGAATCCCTTTGTATTTTAAAAATACTCACTTCCTATAATAACATTTTGCTGTAGAATTTCTGATAGTTTGTTTTCATTATTCTGAAAATGTTTGAGTCTTCTGTAATATCTTTGACAATAAAATAGAACCTAATAAAACAGTGAAATAGATTTTCAACAGGCTGAGCGCTTGGACCTACTGAGTATTTAAGGCTCCCTGTCAACCTGGAAAGATACCTGGTAAAGTACCTGGTGTGTTTCTTTAAAACCTTGTCCTGTTCCATGTTTTGATCAACAACTTAAAGACCTAGAATACACATACATTGTGTTTTCAGATGACATAAGGCCCCCCCAAACACACACAAAACCGTTTCTACCACATATGCCTATGATCGTGATTGAAAATGACTTCAGTAGGCTGCAATGCTGGACGGAAACCAACAAGGCGAAATTGAGCGGGGAATAAATGTACATTTCTGCTTTTAGGCTCAAAAGGAAATTGCGCAATTGCAGGATGGGGAGTGACTGAGCTTGGCAGCACTGCCGGTGACTAAAAGCTCAGTATGAACTAACAGTGGGATGTGGTGGCTCAAAAGAATGAAAATAGTTGTGTGCTGCCTCGGTAGAATTAATACTTCACTGTGCTCTGCACTACTCTCGCTGCATCAGGAGTAATTTGTTTAGTTCCGAGAACATTCAAGAGCAACTCTGACAAAGTCGAGTAGCTGCTAAGAGGGTGTTGAATCCTATCCAAGACACATTTATTGGACTCCTGGCCCCGTGCTAACCGTCGTGGAGAAGAAAGATAGGAAGAGACTGCTGGTCTGTAGCCTCAAGGAGTTGGAAATTTAAATAGAGAGCCTGACAGGTACACACAGGACTAAAACAAAGCCGCCCGGGAAGCCAAGAAGCACAAAGGCAGTGCTGTGGGAATGCAGAGGCTGGATGAGTGGGAGGGTTTCCACAGGAAATGAGGATGAAGGCAGAGGAAGCCTTGAAAGCGAAGATGCAGAGACAGGAAAAGTCCAGGCCCGTCTCGGGAGCGCTGAGTAGTCTGGACTGCCCGGGAGGGGAGGGAGGGGAGGAGATGGAGCCGGGAAGGACCGTGTAGACCCCAGCACGGGGCACTGGGAGGCCATGGGAGGCATTACAGGTTGGTGAACATCTGGAAATAATGATACATGAGGAACAGTTGGAGAAGTTATGTGTGTTTAGTCTGGAGAAAAGAAGACCAAAGTCCTTCTGGAAAATGTGGACCAGACTTACTCTCTGTTCCTCCAGAAGCAAAAATCGATCTCAGGGAGGAAAGGGTACAAGGAACTAGATTTTGGTTGATTCTAAGCATCGTTTTGTTTGTTTGTTTGTTTCTTTGGTTGGTTGGTTGTTTGTTTTTAAATCCTCACCCGAGGACATTTTTCCATTTTTTGTCCAGGTAGAGTGGGAGGGAGAGAGAGAGAGAGAGAGAAACATCGACGTGAAAGGGACACATCGAGTGGCTGCCACCCGCACGACCCACCAGGGCTGGGGACAAACTGCAACCGAGGTACGTGCCCTTAGCAGGAAGCGAACCCGGGTCTCTCTGGACCGCAGGCCGATGCTCTAACTGCTGAGCCAAACCGGCCAGGGCTGTTTCTTTGTTTTTTCATTAAAGCTGCCCAACAGTGAATAGCTAGCCTTGAGAAGATCATGGATGGGCTGAGAGAGAGCTGAGAACTGACACTCCGAAGGGAATGTGGAGAGGGATGCTGCAGCTTCCCCGAGAGAACTGGGAGTTCTAGGAATTGCCCAAGGCCTCCCAATGTGTAATTATCCATTGCTGAGTTTTCGTTATTTGTTAGGTTATCAATTAGTGTATCAGCTTCTGAATAAAGCTTGCATATCACGACTCTCCAGTTCAGTGAGATGTCAGACTAACTCGAGTGCAGGCTGCCCGTTGCTTTGACAGTAGACCCTCATCATCACCGCTTGACTTTTCAACACAGGCACCATCCTTTTTTACTGATATACGGCCTCCTTTCAAATATGAACTTAACAGATTTTTGTGAGAATTCCCCCCTAGGTGAATCAAATGCAAATCAACAACTAATACAAGTCCGGTGCAAAGAAGACAATTTACAAAGACTCTCCATGGTGGTAGGTGTAGGATTTCATAGTGGGTTCTGGAGGTGGAAAGACTTGAGCTCAGATGCCAGCAGTGCCGGTGACTAGCTGTGTGATCCTAGGTGAGTGATGTAAGCGTCCTGTTTCCGAATCTGTAGATGGGAATTGGCCGCTGTTAGCCCAGACCTTGCAGGGAGGTGCCTGGCAGTGCAAGGTCCAATTTTACTTACCGAGTTCTCACGTTTTACAGGGGTGTTCCTAGGAGCCCTTCAGAGCTAAAAATAGTTTTTAATGGAAACATCACCACATCATGGCTAATTTGTATGTGCCAGATAGTGTTCTGAGGATCATATGTTGAACTCATTTAATCCTCAGAACAACTCTATAAAGTAAATACTGTTATTATCCCTCATTTACTGAGACACCAAGAGATTACCTATCTTGACCAGTCCAAGCTAATACATGAGGGATCCAGGATTCAAACCAAGCAAATTATAGAGGTTATTGCAACCATTTCCTAACAATTTCAAGTTTGGGAAACAAACAAATTTCCCTACTTTCTTCCCAGTTTCATTCCAAATACTCTGTTGTGTAATTTCATGCGATTTTATTTGTTCAGGGCTGTTTCACACTAAGATATTTCTCAGTCTTACTTATTTACTAAAACACAGGGGCCCTATGGTCATGATTTGGCCAGAGCTTTGAGAAGTTCCTTAATAAAAGTCAAATGATGCGTGAATAAGTAAAAAAAAAATTAATTATAGAAGCAGTTATTATGGCCACTCTTAAAAGAAGCAAGTAATCTTTACTATAACTTCACTACTTTACCACTGTGGGGGCCAAGAAAAAAAGAAAGAATAATAAAAAATATTTTTCCTTCTACCTGCTAAATTCTAGCTGGGCTAGTAATCAAATGAACAGAGACAGATTAACAGGAGAAAGTCCAATTTTAATAACATGCATGGGGAATTTACATAAGCATGAAAATGCCAGACAATGAGGCAACATTTGGGATATAAGACATTTTGGACAAAGGAGGAAGCGGGGGATGGGTATTGGATTTCGGAAGTGAGACGGGCGATTTACAGGGAGTTGAGGAGCAGAGCATGCAAGGCAGGAAAATTCCTGCTGGGCGACTCAGAAACGATTAAACACAGGGGTGTCTAGCTAATAGGCCCCTGTTGACCTCTCTACCATACTGAATTCAAGTTACGCTAAAGCAAATATGTTCAGATTTCTTTTCTGGAGCAGGTATATCCATCTGAATCTCTCAAGCAGGAAAGAGGGCAGGGCCCAGGGTTCTTTCTGAATCTTGTTTCTTAATAACCAACTTAAAATCAATATCCCCAAAGGCAGCCTTAGGTTTGTAAAACCAGTTCCATTCACCGCCTCTTTCCACTATTTGTTTTGGAGGCGTCATAGCCCTTGGAATCATTCACCCGAAATCAGTGTCTTGTACCTGCTTTCCTTTACCTTGTTTGTAAATCTTGTAACCCCTATTCCTTTATAGCAACAAGGTCCTCTCTCTCTCTCTCTCCCTCTCTCCCTCTCTCTCATCATTTAGTGTTACCAGATATTACTCAAATGTACCCACCTACCAGTTGTGTTTTGTTCAAACACTGAGGGTTGTGTCGTTACCCACCCTCTTTATAAATTCCAAGTTAAAGAATAATTTTACTGCCCGGCTGCTGTGGCTCACTGGTTGAGCATTGGATACCCATGCACCAAGAGGTCGCCAGTTTGATTCCAGGTCAGGGCACATGCCCAGGTTGCAGGCCCGATCCCCAGAGGGGGGCATGCAGGAGGTGGCCAGTCGATGTTCTCTCTCATCGATGTTTCTATCTCTCTCTCCCTCTCCCTTCCTCTCTCTCTAAAAATCAATAAAGAAAAAAAATATATACAAAAAAACGAATAATTTTACCAATCCAATCCATGCTACTCCCGCCTCAAATCAGCCGAATGCCATTTCCACACGCTTTCTTTGACACCCTCCCAGATCCCTGCAGAATAGTCAGGGTAAGCGAAGTTTCAGGTAAGGGGCTGCCCCTCATTTTCTTGGGAGCATTTTGAGGAATTCCTACACACCCCTTGAAAAAACACATCCAGATAGGAACCTGAGGCTCACCTCGAAACTATGTACACAAAGGTTACCAAACCAAAGGAGAATGCGCGGAAACAGCCCCTTTCTGTCCAGGGAAAGGAGCTGTGTGTGCTGCGACACCGCTGGTGGAATATATCAGGAGTAGCCCAATTCTATTGTCGGGGCCAAAATGCAGCTTTTCCTGTCGCAGCGAGAGACCTCTCACCCCCAGGAAGGCAGAGACGAGGGGAGCCGACCAGCCCCAGAGCTCAGCACGGTCTTTTCCACTCGGTGAAGTGATACTGCTTTATTGTTTGGGTCAGGTAGCCGGGCTCGTAATCTCCCTCTCCACGGGCGCGACTATTCCTTTATAGATTAGATAAGAACAACTGATGAACTTTTAAATGCTGAGAAAACTAATCAGAACTGAAGGGGGGGGGGTTGGCCATAGACCAAGAAATATGCTGACGGAGATAAAGTACCTGCTGAACTTTCTCTTCATTCCACACTTCGCTGCTCTGTAGTCTCCCTTTCTTTTTCTTTCTCTTTCCGCTCTTGTCCTATCTGTAATTCATTCAGCTCGCTCATGCCACAGTCTTCTTTCCTCTTCCTTCAGCCCCAACCCTTCTCCAGAGACTTAATTTTGCATACTTTCTTAACTGGCCAAAACATGGACTTAAAATTTTTTTTTTTTTTTTTTTAGTTTTTCTTCTTTATTGATATTACAGAGAGAGAGGAAGGGAGAGAGAGAGAGAGAAACATCGATGAGGGAGAACATCGATTGGCCACCTCCGACATGACCTCCACTGGGGATCGGGCCCACAACCTGGG